TGGCCCAAGAGCGGGAAGTTCAAAGCTCCCAGGAGCTGGGGTCCCCTCTCTGTCATCAAGCCATTACCACGCCCCACCCCTACCTCCCTCTCAGCGAGCAAACCCTCTTACCAGTCTCTCAGCTTACCTCTGCCAAAGGACACCCGGGCATAGCCTGTGCGCCAGACTCGAGAGCTGGCAGAGCTCCCTCTCGGGACTTCTTGAGCCGTCCCCCGTCTGTTATCACCATGGGTGGATGACCACCACCACCACCACCACCACCCCACCCCCACCACCACCGAGTTTGAGGGAGGACATGGGCAGCCCCGAGGGTGTGCATGGCAGATCATTCGCTGATTTCCTTCTCGTTCCATGCACTGGACCCACACGCCCAGCACCATGTCCTGGCATGCAGGGCAGTGCCCGGTACCCCAGCTCCCACCCCATGGTGTCCCCGAGCTTCTGGGAGGCCAGACGCTTGGGCTGGGGGGAGGGTCTGTGTTATGGAGGGACCCCTCCTCTGAAGCTGTGTCTCCGCTCTGCTGAGGACGCTGGTCGGAGGGGTGGGGATGGGGGCGCCCTCCTTCACAATGGCCCCCTTAGGTGGTGGACGTGGGTCCCCTGCCAGACGGTGTCTTTCCCAGCTGGTGGCCTCTCTACTCCTCCTCATGAGGATGTCTTTTGATGAACCAAAGATCGTAACCTTAAGGAAACCCAATTAGTCGGTGTGTGTTTCTTTCTCTCCTAGTTTATTTTATTTCATTTCACTGGTCCTGTCTGTTAACATTAAGGAGCGCTGGTAGCTGTTGGATGGTTAACCACGAGGCTGGTGGTTCAAACCCACCAGCAGCTCGACAAGAGAAACAGGAGGCCGTCTGCTCACTGCCATCACCTCCAGGCTGACTCACGGAGACCCCTCTGGGGGTTTCCCAGACTGTACGTGTTGACGGTCCCTCCTGGAACTGCTGGTGGATTTGAACTGCCAAGCATGCGCACCGTGGCCCGACTTGTGACCACTACACCACCAGGGCTCCCCAGAAAGACTTACAACCTCAGGAATCCTGGCTATTGTCGTCGTTAGGGGTTGCCGGGATGCCATCGGGCTCTCGGTGACCCTGTACCCAACAGAGGGAAACCCAGTCCTGTGCCAGCCTCACAGTGTTCACGGGTGTGAGCCCACGGTTGCAGCCGACCCATCTTGTGTCCGTCTGTTTTGTCCAGGGTCTCCCCTCTGGGTGCCTGCCCCTCCACTCTACCAAGCACGACGCCCTTCTCCGGTCTCCCCTGACAGCAGGTCCGAAGTGCGCGAGACCAGGTCTCACCAACCCTGCCCACACAGAGCGTGCTGGCTGGACTTCATCTGAGACAGATGGTTGGTTTTCTTGGCCACCCGTGGCCCTTTCTGTATTCTGGTCCAGCACATCGTTCAGAAGCTTCGATCCGTCCGCCTTCCTTCTTCACCATCCAACTCTCTCACCCAGAGAAGGTGACCGAAAAGACTGTGGTTTGGGTCCAGCCTGCCTTAGCCCCCACAGTCACCTCCCTGCCCTTTCGCACGCTCTGAAGCAGCCTTGTGTGGCAGACATTGGAGAAATCCCTTACAGGGTCACCAGGCGCTGGAGCCAACTGGACGGCAGTGAGTTGGCCCGGGTTTGGTGTCCTAGGTCATAAAGATGCCGTCCGGCCTTCCTGTTGAGGCCCGTGAGCTGGTGTGGATTTGTTCTGGGAACTGGCGTGTGACGGGCACTGTGGTGGCTGCTACATGGATTTGGGGTCCCTGTTGATCACCGGGGTCTTCGGTCATTCTAGGACCTTTATTATAAGGACTTCCCCCCACGCCCACCCCACTGAGGTGGTCCCCAGGATGTTGGTGCACCAGGACTGTGGCCTTGTCACGTCACTGGCCGCGCGCGTCTACCACAGTGCTCAGCACTCACGCCCTGCCAGCCTCCAGTTCTGGCAGCGTGACTCCTCCACCTCCCTGGGCTGTTCTTGACCCGGTGTGTTTTCCTGCAGAATTCAGGATCAGCTTCGAGAACTGAAGGAAAATCCAAGCCTGCGTCGGAACTTCTCCGGGGCTGGTATCGAGTGGTGCAAGGAGCTGGAGAGAGTGTAGGGTCTCGGCACCAAGAAGAACTGTCACCGTGCCGCATTTCGGGGGCAGCAGAGCCGCAGAGCCAACGCATGGTGCCCAAGGAAGAGGGTCTTTCCCAAACCTTCCTTCTGTGTCTGAAGAAGGGTGGGCCGAGCGCTCCGTAGAGACCAGGATGGCGAGACTTGGTCTCACGTACCTTGGACGTGTTGTCAGGAGCGTCCAGGCCCCGGAGAAGGACACCGTGCTTGCTAAAACGGAGGGGCAGCGGGACAGAGGGAGGCCCTCGAGGAGGTGGACGGACACAGTGGGCGCCACCACGGGCTCAGGCAGGGGGAGGCTTGTAAGGACGGCCCAGGACCAGGCGAGGTGTCACCCTGTGTGCATGGGTCACTTTGGTCAGAGCGGACGTGGCAGGCCCTAACACCACCAACAACAGCAAGAACCCTCTGATTTCCGGGTCCTCACCCTGACCATGACACGCGGGCGTGGTTCTCAGCGCAGGGTGCGTGGGACGCGTGTCAACCCCCATTGTCTGTTACCTTTCTCGGGGTACCTCGCCTTCTCTAAGCACGCTGTCAGTTCCGGACTGCTCTGTCTGGGTTTACATCAACGGAGGCTCCTTCTATTCCTGGCTTGCTATGAGTTGTGTTTTTAATTAGGAGTGGGACTTGGGTTTTATCGGATGCCTTTCTGCATCTTTTGAGTTGATGATATGTTTTCTCTCTCTGATTCTCTTGATGTGGTGAATCTGGCTGATTGGTTTTCGAATGTTAGGCTCAGGGTGCTTGACTGGATTGAGCGGCACTGGCTCACGGGTCTGTCTGTGGATCGCGGGATTCCGTCTGCAGTTCAGCTGCGTTGGCAGCTGGGCCGTGAGAGGGGCGGGCCTGCGATTCTCCTCTCTCCCAGTACCCTCGGCAGGTTGTGATGCCAAAGTTGTGCTTCCCCTTAAAATAAGTGAAAGAATGCCTGCCGCCCTGCCCCCCCCCCCATCTCTTAAAAGGATTTGCTTAAAAGGTGTGTTATCGCTTGCTTCCTGGAAGGTTTAGAAGGATTGCACCAGCCACCATCCGAGTTTGCTGGGTGTGACATTCATGACTCATGTAGATGTCGCTAACTTAATAGCGATCCACGAGAGATCTTTAATTGACCTCTCTCTTTCACAGTGGCTGCAACAATGGGCGCAGGGACAGGGACAATGGTGAGGCTGGGCGGGACTGGGCAGTGTGCACTGCTGTTGTCCACATGGTTGCTATAGGTCAGGGCCAACTAGGAGGCCCTGACAGCATGGTGGCAGTAGCTGTCGGGCAATCGAGGCTTTTCTATTTCTTCTCCTGCTGTGTTTTGAAAGCATTTGCCACCCTGTGTGGAAATCTCTCCCGAGATCCATATCGTTCGCCACGTCCTCAGAGCCAGTGTTTCCCTGTGTCTGGGCTCGGCGCCGCTGCTCGTATCAGACTTGCTGAAGGGGAACCAAGCGTGGGTGGGCTTCGCTGGTTGAGCTGGGTGGTTTGGGCATGCGTGTCCGGGACCAGGCTCCTGCCTCTGTCATCTCCTTTGGTCTACCTTCTTGGGGGTTAATTTGGTGTCTTTCTAACTTCTTAAGGCAGAACCGGGAGCTTCAAGGTTTCTCAAGGCCCCAGCTCAGGGGGCATCAAAACCCCACGCTCACTCCCCAGTCCCCCCACGGGCAGTCCCGTGGCCCCGACGGCATACTTCAAGGTCTACCACCATTCTTTCCCGCTTCTCTGAGTCAATCCTCCCCGCCGCCCCCTTCGGGTTCCCGGCCAATCTTTGGAATTGCCGTCGTCAATTTGATCCCACTTGGATCGTTCCTAAAAGGGCACAGGGGTCAGGGCAGACAGGGACCCACTGTTTGCCCTGCGCTGTCTGTACGCTGCTCATCACAGCTTCCATTCTCCCAGCGCCAAAACTTACTCACCCCTCTGAGATACCGAGACGCCTCAGGCCTTCGCAGTAGGAAGCGTCAGGCTCGGCGTCCAGCCTCCAGGGGCCATGCCTTCGCGGTTCTCCCAGCCTGTGCCGACGCCTGGTCCCAAAGCCAGTGGCGTATTTGTGAAGACTGGTGCAGGCGCCCACGTCCTCGTCCCCCTCCCACGCCGCCAACCAGTCCTACCTTGGGCGGCTGAAACAGACAGCCATTCTCCTTGCTCACCCTTTCGGGGCCGGGTTGAAGTGGCTGAGGACGTACTGCTACACCTGTTGCACCACAGTGGAAGGGGCGGGCGGAGAGCAGGGGCGGGCAGGGTCCTGTGAGTCAGCCATTTGGTCTTGGCTCAGCCGGGCGGTTGTTCCGCTGGCTTTGGTGGGGGTCACTGCTGCAGCTGTGGTCATCGGGTGGCTCCCTGGGGCAGGGGGGTGAACAGTGGCCTCAACCACAGGCCATGTGGTCAGTGCTGGCCCGTGGTTGCGGTGCTACAGGTCCCCTCCATGGGGTCCCTCCAGCCGGCTAGCTCAGACTCACCCACACGGCTGTGGGCCAAGAGGCTGGGAACTTCCAGGGGAGACCGCATGGAGAACAGGTCCTGTTGACCAAGAGCTTCTCCGCTTGAGCCCTGGCCACCTGTGTCCCTGGTCAGCCTCTGTTCCCCCACCCGGCCGTCGCCCTGATACTGGGGGCAGACTCAGACTCTGATGTGGGGCTGGTCTCATGTGGCTCCCCTTCTTTCTGGGGTCCCACTCCTGGAAGTGGGTCTGTGCTGGCCACTGAGCAGTTGCCTAATGAAAGCCTCTGGCCCCTGGCCTCTCCTGGCCCCTGCCGGGGTCTGCTCGAGGACCTTGGGACCACGCATGCCCTTTGTCTTGTTCCTGAAGGGTCCCGCCACACATGCCTGGGCCCAGGGGAAGGACTGTAACACAGGGTGACCAGCTCCGAGGGCCACTCATGCCCCCTCTCCCCACACAGGCTCCGAGAGCATCACCGGGTCACCATCAAGGTCATCCGACGCATGCAGTACTTTGTGGCCAAGAAGAAATTCCAGGTGGGTGTGAGCACCGCCCTCGCCGGGTATGGGTCTTCTGTGGGGCGTTCCGGGCTCACACTTGTGTTGTTCCGCACTGGGGTGTGGCGGGGGCGTAGGGTGGGGGGTCAGACCTGCCACTGTGCCCTGAGAGTGGCCGTGAGCACTCAGCCCCTAGGCAGCATCTTCTCTACTGGGGGGCGGCTGACCATCTCTCTGTCCCAGGCGGCACCCCCTCTGCTGGGGGGCGGCTGACCGTCTCTCTGCCCGCAGCAAGCTCGGAAGCCATACGACGTGCGTGACGTCATTGAGCAGTATTCTCAGGGCCACCTCAACCTCATGGTGCGCATTAAGGAGCTGCAGAGAAGGTGCGCAGGGGTGCGGGCACTGGGGGGCAGAGCGAGGGGAGGAGTGTGACACTCGTGGGTCTGGTGCAGGGCATGGGAGGCAAGAGTATGGGGTCACAAGGGTGTCACCATCATAGGTCAAGGGTGAGTGGGGGGAAGGATTCCTGTGTGTATCCTCCCCTTCCTGAGTCCAGTTTGTCCTCCTGAGACCGCCCCCCAGAACAGCTGTCGATCGGAGCAGGCCCCTCAGATCCCCATCTCAGGGAAGTCTCAGCCCTTTGAGCCCCTTGCCTCGGAGAGCCTGGACCCCAGGGGGGAAGTCCCCTTGTCTTGGAGCTTCTCCCACCCTGTCCTTCTTGGCCCAGCCCAGTCTGGGCAGCATGAGCAGCCCTGGTGCCTGGTGGCTGAGTCCGTTTCCCCCCCTGCAGGCTGGACCAGTCCATCGGGAAGCCCTCCTTCTTTATCTCCGTCTCAGGTGCGTCTCCCACCCTCACCCCGGAGTCTGTCTGCACCCATCCCTGAGGGGCCCAGAGTGAGCCAGACCAGGACACCACCCCACCCTGGGCCAGAGGCTCAAATAGGCTTTAAGAGGGGGACAAGTTTGATGAAGATCCCTCAGGTATGGTACCTGAGATTAGGGCCTGGGGTGCTCTGTTCAGACCCTAGCTCCTCAGAAAAGGTGGGGCACGGGGGAGGGCAGCCAGCAATGGGTAGATGACAGGGTCAAGTGCCTAACTCTCCAGCTCTGGACCTGGGTCTGTGAGTCACATCAGGGCAGGACAGGGCCCAGGCCCAGTCCTTAGAGCTGCCCCACCCAAATACAAGTGGAACAGTGGCATCCCACAACAGGAGCTGCGGATGCAACAGGTGTTCCCAGGACTCTGGAAGGCCAATGCTGCCTTGGGAGGCAAAATCATAGTAAATTTGTTGATCAGGAAGCAGGCACTGTTGCAGATGGTTTCCTGGGCAGGGTGGGCCCCGGTCCCCATTGGAGGAACTCTCAGAAGTCCCGGCCCTCCCTGCCAGCACACAGACCCCTGAGTTCAGTGCTTTGCCCCTCAGAAAAGAACAAAGATCGTGGTAATAATACCATCGGTGCCCGCCTGAACCGGATGGAAGACAAGGTAGGTTTGTGTGACCAGCCTGTGCCCTCAGGGAAGTGGGCGCTGGTAGCATGGCAGGGCTGTGGTAAGGTCATCCTCAGGCCAATGTCCCCCACTGTGCCAATGTGGGATATGAGACCACCTGGGTCCTGGCCCCACCCTGTGCTGTTGGACCTTCACCCACACCAGGAGACCCCCATCTTTGGGGAAGACTCATGGGAAGGAGGAAGCAAGGGTTTTCTGCTGGTTCCAGACCTGACATGGCTGGGGACCCAACATGGCTGGGGTCTGCTCAGGGGTGAACTGGGTGGGTTGCCCCTCAGCTGCTGGGAGCCACATGGGGTACAGGCTCTGTAGCACCTGGTTCTCTGGGCTTAGGCTGTGTATTGTGCCCCTCCCCCCTCCCCTGCTCTGCCTGCCCTGCCGGCCTTCCTCCCAGGACCCCTTCCCAGCATCTCCCCAGGAGCCTTTGCGAGGCTGGTGGGACTGCTCTGCTGCCTTTGAAGTTCCGTGGTCTGGAGAGGGTGTTATCTCGCTCAACAGCGAGTCTGTCTACACCGTTTATCTGGAAGTCGTGGAGAGGCTAAAAATAGAGGGATTCAGTTGGGCCCCTGAGTGTGGCTGCGTAAGGGTTGCCTTGGTAACGCCGGGCTCTGGCCTGTATCCATCCTTGCTGCCTGTGGGCGGGCGGGAAGGGGTCAGGATACTGTGTGCTCTGACTGCCCTTGGATCAGTTGGCCC